GGTCAGTGGACCGAGACCCTTTGGATTTAGTACTGTGTTCTCTAGCAGTCCTGAACCAATGGAAGTTAATGTGCGTGTTTGAGCAAGCTGAATTCTTACTATATCAGTGTGGACAGAGGGTGAGGGGGTTCTTGTCAATTATGCTGACACCACTAAATTTTTGTATCAAAGAACTGTATCTTTTTGTGAATACTCTTATGTAAATATATGCAAAGGCACTGTCCATATTTTTAAGGCATGTATTATACTCTGTGAGGTTTTATGCTGGATTCTGCATGACTCTACTCACTCTTGGAATAAAGACAAGACTTGCTCTTCTTTCCAAAATGAGAGGTCTTCATAGAGACAGGTTATTGGCTCAGCTGTAAAGTAGTAGTAGTAGTCCCACTGATCATGAAGTGGAAGAGGTTTTGTGCAAATTAATGTAGTTTCTTATTTATTGCTTTTGTAAATCGAATAAAAATGGGATTTTTATGTAAATAGACTGTGGGATCCTGTATTATCAGCTACTAAAAATTAGTTTGTAAATTCTTCATTGTAAAGTTTAAAAATATTTTATGTATTTCTAGATATGACTTAAATTTTAGTTTTCATACATTATGAAAGCAGAACTAACTACATATTCAGTTGCTTCAGACTAAACACATACTCACCATATGTAATTCTAATTATTCATAACAGTATTAATTTAGATAGCTTATTTGTACTGTGCAATTTGAACAAGGAATGCAATGTTATTTTTTATGAAATCTTGTTTATTTTTATAACACAATGTATTTGATGTGGACCAAATTCGTACCACTATGTAAAACAGCCTCTCTTATAGTGCAGATATAGCTTAGAAATAAAATTCAGCCCTCTATTCTCCTTTTTAAAGAGAGATTTAGTCCTTTAGGCAATATTGTTTAGAGGGAACCTCAAAATTATTTTGAAATTACTTCAGATTTCACCAACTATTTAAAATTATTAAATTTGGTAATTTACTGTTATTTACTTTCTACATTAGAAGTGCAATAATTTTACATAATAAAACTCCTGAATGGGTGAAATATGTGACTGTTGTTACCTGGTCCTTCTGGTGCTACTTTATTTAAGTCGTCTCAACCACCACCTTGTTCTGAATTTTAAAATACAGAATAAAGTTTCCTATGAAGTATATGCAGTGCAGGAAAAAAAAAAAAAAAAAAAAAAAAAAAAAAAAAAAAAAAAACTAAGCTGACATTTCTTCTGTCCCATTCCATTAGGCAGAAGAGCCAGCATTTCTTTTTTATCAAGTCACTTTCTAGTGTGACTATTTAGTTAATAAAAACAATTTACCGTCATAAGCAGCAGTGGTCTTTTCATGTCTTAAATGGCTGCTGCTGAGTTAATCTCACTTTTTTTGGTGGTGGTGGAGCAGTACTGAAGATGAGCCTAAGGCCTCTAACCAAGTACTCCGCTAGTAAGTCATATCCCAGCCCCCACCCCACCCCACCCTTTTTTTTTTTTTTGAGGCAGAGCCTTGCCCAGGCTATATGCCAATTTGTAACTTTGCAGCTGCTCCAGTTGCTGGGCTTTCCTGACTGTGCTACCATGCTGTCATCTCAGCACCGCTGCACAATCTTAAAGCAGGTTCTGCATTAGTCAATGTTACTCCTGTGGTTCAGGCTGGGAATGACTCTTCAATAAAACATAGTGTCTAGCTAGTAGAACTAGGAAACACCAAGACAAGAAATGTGGTGAGCTTAAGAAAATTATCCTTTAGTGGTTATATACTTTAAAAATTTTGTTTTGCTGTATTGTTTGGTTCAAACATCAACTGTGTAAGCCATATCTTTAATGAACTTAAATATTCAGCATAACTGTTTGAAAGTTAGCATATATGCTTATATTTCTTGCTGACACCAAAACAAATCATTTGGGGTAAAAACAACCTTTGCTTGTAATTAGAATTGCTGCTGCTTCTGTAATATGTATTCCCCCACCCCCTGGTAAAGGGTAATAAAACTATTATATGAGCTTTTGTTTACTTATCTCAGGTTATGTATTAAATGCCACAAAAAGTAATTTTCACTTTGCAGTCCCCATCACTTACATTCTCCTAAATGAAATTCCTAGAAGTTCAGACAAATGTATTTAAAATATATGTAGATACTGTAAGGACTTAGGCATTATGCTGGCCTGCCCATGTCATCTGGCAGAATGCACTCAGGCAGTGCCCTGGTTAGCCCAGGTGCAAAGGACCCCTTTAAAAGACAGACACACACACACACACACACACACACACACACACACACACACACACACACACACACTTCTGCTCTTTCTCACTCCTCTCCTTCACACACACACACACACACACACACACACACACACACACACTTCTGCTCTCTTTCTCACTCCTCTCCTTCTGCTCTTTCCGGCTGTTCCCCTGGGGCAGACAGGACTTTTCCTGTCTCCCCCTTCCCTCCCCTTTCTAATAAAACTTCTCACTTAAGCTCTGTCTGCCTGGCATGTTTGTCCCTCAGCCATGCTGGACATGGAATCTGCCATGGTCCCCCACACCCATCATAACAGAGTGGGAACATCCAAGGACCTGATGACAGAATATTGAACCCTTCATACCATGGGTGTGTGTGTTCAAATACAGTTAAGAAATGATAGAAAATGATGCATGCACACCATGTGATCACCAAACAGGAAAGTAGGTGTCATCTCTAGTAGGTAAATTGAAAATGATTGATTAGCACGGTTCCCATGTCTCTTAAATATGTTGTGTGGATTTCCTTATTAGACATTTCATAAACATGTAGTATGTGGATGTTTATTATTACCTTGACATTATGTTTTCAAAATTCTTTACGTATTATATGTATTTTACTTTTTTAAAGCTGAATAATGCTGTTGTGTGGCTGTTTACTGTCCATTTAAAGGTTAGTTTGCGTTTCTGACTTTAGATTATAACACTATAAACATTCACATAGTTCTCCCTTACTCTGCTTTGCCCTCAACTGAAGTCCAAAGAGAACTGTATAGACATAAACAGTTTCCAAGTATTAAATAGCTTTTATTACAGCATACTGTTATACCTATTTCCTGTTGTACCTAACTCTTTTTATCATCTTTTATCGTGGATGTAATATATAGGGGGAACTGATGTATCTGTGGTTTCAGGAACCCAATGAGGATCTTGGACCATATCCCCATAAGTAAGGAAGAAGATTGGGGAACCAGGCTTTTCTGTATGGATGTGTTTTGAATTCTCTGTAGAAGTGGAATTGCTGGATGATGTAGTGACTATGTCCTTGAGCAAATAAATACCAAGTTCTCTATGTCAGGATGCCTAAAGTTCCCATTACTGTGAATGAAGACTCCAGCTTCTGCTACCTAAACTTACCATCTTAGTCAGTCTTCCAAGAGCTGCATGAAAATGATACGCCATCAGACACTTGGATACCTTTGTCTTTGGCTTGCCAGTGGTTTTTATGTATTTTTGTATACAAGGCCTAACCCAAGTTTATGATTAGTATTTTCTCATTCTTTATGATTCCCCTGTCTTGATACTATCTTTTGGAACAGCTTTTCTTGTTGATAGGAGTCCAGTTTATTCTATTCTTGTTGTTTGTGCTTTTGTCAAAACTGGGAAACTATAATTTAACCCAAGGTTGTATTTATGCCTATGCTTTATAAGTTGTAGCTTAAACATTTTGACCCATTTTGAATTAATTTTTGTATATATTAAGAACTCTATCTTTTGCATATGGATACTCAGTTGTCTGAGTACTGTTTGTGAAAAAGACTTTTCCCCCAGTGAACTGTCAGAAACAGACTATAAATGTGTGGGCTTGTTTCTGGACTCTGTTGTAATGATGGGCATCTGTTACAGTCATCCGTTTATGGTAGCAGCACGCTGGATTGGAAGTGCAAGCGCTACGTGTATTTATGCATTCAAGGCTGTTTGGGCTGTTCCAGGACTCTAGGAATTTGGGACCATCTTTTCCAGTGGCACTCTGCATAGGAATCATGTGCAGTGTGTGGACAAATCTGAAGAATGCAGTCCTTTTTAGTGCCATGCTTACCCAGTGCATGCATGCTATCTTTCCTTCTAGGCCTTTCATTTCTTTCTGCGGTATTTTGTAGTTTTGCTTTTGTTCTGTTTCATTCTTCTTGGTATTCTTATAGATGGAATGTTTAATTTCATCTTTGGATTTTTTGACTTTCTGTATAGACAGTCATGTCATCTGCAGCCAGATATAATTTTAGGTTTGCATGTAGGATCCAAATGCTTTGTCTTTCCTTGCCAGGTTGCCCTGGCTGGAACCACCAGAATGATGTTCAAAGTAGGAGTGGCAATGATGGGTATCTTGTCTTCTTCCAGTCTTTTATCATTAAGTATGATGCTCTGGGTTCTCACTGATGACCTCTAACCAGGTAGAGGAAGTCCTCTTGAGGTGATCAGAACAGAGCATTGTTAGTGTTCTACTTGCTCAGGATAATTGGATTAAATAAATTCTCAATAATTTTTGCAATCAAGTATGTTTCTAAAATTTCAACATAATGAAGCATACATACATGCATTGTGTCTTTATTGGCCCTAAAAGAAGAAGACCAAAATTGTTGTTTCCCTTTGTATTGAACTGCTGGGAAGGAATCCCCACAGAAAATTAAGAGCTTTGAGAAATGTCACCAGCCTGTCCTTGGGTGATGAATTACTGTAGGTCAGTTTTTACAAGGTAAGTTTTTTCACTGCTCTTATCCCTAGCCCCTAATTTAAAAAAAAAAAAAAAAAAAAAAAAAAAAAAAAAAATTTTTTTTTTTGATTTCCTCTTCCCATGGAGATGATTTAAGCCCAAATACAGCTGGGATTTTACCATTTGCTAAGCAGGGTAATTTTATTTCTATGGAATGCAGATGCATCATTTCATTGCAGGTAAAACACTCCATGTGAAGTCAGCATTCCCATCTTGAATTCTTTGCTTATACCACTTATTAAAATAGCAGTGATGCTCAAGTCATGTAGATCTTTTTAAAGATTTTTTTATATAAAAAGACTAGGGATATAAAACAGCCTTAAACTGTTGATAGAATCAAATCAGTTGTAAAAATCCATTTTTTCCAACCAGTATGTTAAAAAAGTTTATTTCATAACATTGTAAGGCAACAATTAACCCTCAACAAATCTCCCAGCAGCTTCCTGAATCATGTACACTGCTTGTGGGTCAACCTCCTTCATGGTAAAACCTTGGGGAATCTTGGACATTTAATTACAGCTGCTAACTGGAAAACACTTCGTAGAACAAGATCAATCATTCTTAAATATTAAGAACTGTGAAATCACAGTTCTTTATACTCCTCCCTATTGTGCTGCTTATATTTATACTCATTAGGGGGGAAATGCATTACTTAGAACTTGAAAGTATACTTTCAGAAGTGAATTACTCAAATGATCAGATAATCTTTAAAAGAGGGGGTTACTGATAACTACCTAGTGTGCTTATTAAAAGCCATGAATACTGTATTAATTACTTGACTATTTCTGGCCTTTAAGCATGTTCCTGAAACTGAGCATCTTGTTACTGGGTGCATAATATCAAAGTTTCATAATGTTAAAGAAAATCAAAACTGTTTGCATAGAGAAATAACCCAAAGGCAAAAGGAAAACCATGATTATGCCGAAAAGGACAAAGACACCCTGCTAAAAGGAAAGAAATCAGAGAACATCTTGTTTTTATATGCTTCTTCAGCATGATGTTTTGCTTCCCCTTCTCTAATTTCTAGTAATCAATTTTAGATTAAAGCAGGAACAGAACATCCGCCTATATTTTAAAGTTCATTTAGCTATTAGCACTATTATTTTCATGAGCTGTGATTCTATACAGGCTGCAGATGTTAAGTACTACCTGACAAACAATGCATACACAGCAAGAGCCAGACACTTGAAGCACTGTTAGATAAGATTTCTGTAAGTCCATCAAAACCAGTGGCTCCACTATACAGTGTCAGTACATATGACAGTCAGACGTTAGCATCCAGCTCTAGCTGCAGCCCTCATGTCTGCATGGGTCCAGACAGTTTTTAAGGAGTTAGAGATTAAGCAGGCAACACAAGGAACATGATTAGAAACTGACTGCCACACAAGCGATTTTAAGAAAGTTTTCTCCTGCAATGCACACTTAACTCTGCTCTTGCTGAAATTCAGATGGCTCTGAGGGCCACTCTGAGAAAAACCTTTCTGTTCCTACCTGAGAAGTATATTTTATTTTGTTTTGGGTTTACTGTGGCTTTTCTTTCAACTATATTTTGGATCATATTTGTTGACTAACTCAAATTTTGTCTTTTTTTTTTTTGTTAATGTAAAAAAGAAGCTAGCATATTTTATTGTTCATCTCATCGTCTCTGTCACCGATGGAACCTAAAGAAGCCACAAGAGGCACTGCTGTGGCAAACTTCACAGGCTGCATCCCTGCTTCCAAATGAAAACCATTAAACCATACTGCTGCTTTTACTCAGGGTCTGAACACTTAACAGATTCAGGTGTAGTTGTCTCATTCCTGTGTAAGCCACAACCTCAGTATCAGGACAGCCAATCTCACAGACAGCAAGTTCTAAGAACTTATTCACTTGCTACAAAACAGAAAACAAAATGCAGCAATAAATTATGTTGTAAAGGATTGACCTTGTATAACAGAGGATGCCTATAAAATGAAGAGAATAAATACTATATAGAACACCCCACCCTCCTCCTCTTCTACCTCAGAAGAGCCATGCTGGCAACTCGGTGTTCTGTCTTAAATTGCACAAATAAAGCAACCCATGAACTGTGAGAAGGGAATGTAGCTGAAAAATGTTCTCTCCCTAAATGACAGGAGCATTTTGAGGGGAAAGCCGACGACGAATGCTACCTCAGGAAAGCGGTCCAGAAGTGGCTTTCAGAGCTTGGAGTCAGGCCCATGGCTCAAGCTTCAGAACAGACATAAAGAAATGTAGCTCTCGGGACTTCCTTCTTCATGGCAGTCACTTTTTACAGGCGAGAGCCACTATCCCAGGGAATGGTATTTTACCCACCATCCACTGACAACAGTGGACTTACCTATTTCATTAACAGTAGTCTAACTGTTCCTCAAAGGAAAGCTACTGAAGTGCTATGTTGCTGAGTCCTTACAGTCATACAACTAACATGTATAAAAGGCAGTATCCACATGTGCTTAAAAGTGCCTGAAAACTGGAATTTTCAAGTGACAAAAAGGCCAGACATCACTATCCCAAAGTTTAACCCATATGGTACTTGTCCCTGAAGAGTATTATCCCAGAAGCTCTTTGAACATACGCTCACTAAAACTCATTGACTTGTGTTACATATATCCATATAACATGGGAGAGAAACTGTCCCATGGAATGTCTAAGGGGCATGTACTCAAAGCCCATCCACGCAATTAAAACACAAAAAGGCTGTAGGTGCAAACCCACGCAGAGGGAAATGTCCAATCTGGGAACTTCTCTTTCAGAGCATCGAGCTGAGAAGATCTCTTGTCTTCCCCTGATAGATAGTGGGCAGCAATGGCCACCGTGACCATTCCTTCTGGCTGTTCTTCTGACACCTGCTAGAGAAAATCAGTTAGTTCTCTGAAGCCAGAACACTGAACTCCAAGGTAGCTGAGTAATATCTGGGAGCCTGAGAAATTCCCACCTGTACTTCTATCCAGAACTGCCATGCAGAGGCCTGGAGTCCATGGGAATAAAACACAAAGTAGTCCCCTCCTCTGCTTGTGACTGGAATGCCATTGCCAAGAGACCACTGAGACAGCGTTGATCCTTTGTGGGTTCGAACATAGAAAGACATATGGCTTGGTCCTATAAGAGGAACATTTCCATCAGTCAGCAGTGACAAGCAATACAGTTAACACCCAAACATACTATCATGGTTCATCTGTGCTATGACTTTAGGTAGACTCTCCACAAGGCAGGAGGTTTACTAGCTCTGGACATTCAGTATCTAGCAACAAGGATAAGAGAACAAAAAAGACAGAATCTAAATGAGAAAAGTAACTACTGATGGAAATTACCTAATCCCCACCCCCAAGATTGCAGGAAGAGTTGAAAAGTAATCTGGCTAGTTCCTTAAGGCTCTCAGTGTTTGGACTAGGGTAACTGATCAACCTGATTCAAATCCACTATTTGTATGTTATCAGAAAAGTCTGGGATAACTTGGCCAAATATCAAGGTACTATTTAGTCTCGCCGGATTGACACAGTTAACCATCACATTCCCACAAAGGACAATTGATCAGAAAGGGAAATAATCCTGATTTGCTTACTGAAGAATAGCTAGAGATGCCCATGAGGCTTTATACCAAAGACCCAAAATGTTATGCCAAGAAGTCTAGAGTCACTCTGCAAGCAGCACAACTTCATTAATTTTACTTGAGGGAAGTAGTACATCGGCTGGTGGCACTGCGAGAGAAATCCCAGAACACTAAACATGGAAAAGGGAAGAGTCAAGTCTTCAGATCAATGCGCATCTGTTTGACAATGACCAACACTACATGTTCAGTAAGGCTTCTTAAAAGGCATAACCAGGCTGGGCAGTGGTGGCACACGCCTTTAGTCCAGCAGTCCAGAGGCAGGCGGATCTCTGAGTTTGGGGCCAGCCTGTACAGAGTGAGTTCCAAGACAGCCAAGGCTACACATAGAAACCCTACCACCCGCCCCCCCCCAAAAAAAACCTACAAAAGTCACAATCACCAAGTGGCACAATCCAGTAGTCCCTCAGGAGACTGAGGCAGGGAGACCATGAGTTTGAGTTTGAAGCTAGCTTGTCCAAAAAGTAAATAAATGAGTCTAAAGGAGATAAACTCTAATCATCTTAAGAAGCAGTGTCACGGGACTTGCCTGTTGCTTTTGAGGCCAATGTCATGTACTCCCAAGGGGGTGAACTGAGGACACAGACTTACTGCAAGTCCTCAGCAACCATAAAAATAAGTTTGACTTGGGGCTGGAGGATGTTCAGCTATTAAGAGCATCTGCTGCTCACTATGTTACCTGGCTATCCTGGAGTTCCATATGTAGACCAGGTTGGCCTTGAACACAAAGATCTGCTTGCCTCCCCTGGAATAAAGTATGCACAACCACATCCAACCTGATTTTAATTGGCCTTTGTATTTGACTATTTGAATAATGACACTGGGAGAGAAAGGGTTAAAATTTTTAATAAAATAGTTGGCCAAGTGTGGTGGGACACCTGGAACCCAGAGGCGGGAGAATCACAAGCTGAGGCAAGAATGAGCTACAGAGCAGGACCCGGTCTCAAGCAAACCAAAGGCACACCCACCAAGCAGTACAGTGTTGTTTGAAAGTGAAACTGGATTAGCTGTAGATACACATTTCAAACTCTAGGGCAATCACTAAAAATAAAACTATAGCGGAACTAGAGAGATGGCTCAGCAGTTAAGAACACTTGCTGCCCTTTCTGAGAACCAGAGTTTAGTTCCCAGCACCCACATTGGGCAGTTCATAGCTGCCTTTAACTCCAGTTCCTGAGGGTCCAACACTCTCTTTCCTGCCTGAGTATCTGCAGATATATGGCATACATTTACAGACACATACATGCAAATGCAAAATTTTGTTTAAAAACACGGTTTCTGTGTGTAGCCCCTAGCTGTCCTGGAACTCACTATGTAGACCAGGCTGGCCTTGAATTCACAGAGATCTGCCTGTTTCCTGGGTGCTAGGATTAAAGGCATACTCCATCACTGCCCATCACAATTTTTGTTTCGTTTTGTTTTTGTTTTGTTTTGTTTTTTTTTTGTTTTGTTTTTCGAGACCGGGTTTCTCTGTGTAGTTTTGGAGCCTATCCTGGCACTCGCTCTGGAGACCAGGCTGGCCTCGTACTCACAGAGATCCGCAGCCTCTGCCTCCCGAGTGCTAGGATTATTAAAGGCATGTGCCACCAATGCCTAGCGCCCATCACAAAACTTATAAACAAAACAAAATAAAGTAGTTAATAACTCAGTGAAAACTACATTAAGGCATAAAAAGGGTGGAAGATAAAAAACAAGGGCAAAACTATTAACCCATTTAAACTGGGTCATAAAACAAGACCCAACTAAGTACTACCTATATAAAATTAAAGACACATAGATGAAAAGTAAATGGAAGGTGCTGGAGATGTAACTTGGTGATGGAACATTAATGTGTATATAGCACGAAAATAAATATAGGCAGAAAATACACGGTTTTTAATTAGCAGTAATCAAAAGAAAGCTTTGGAGAGTTACAGCTGACTCAAGTAAAGGAGATTTTCATTGGTAAAAAGGCAATTATATAAAGTCAAAAAGTAGTCTATAAGAAGATAGAAGAGTAATTAAAATATATGCACCTAACAGCAAAGCCTGAATATGGATCAGACAAAAACAGCTACACTGAAACTGGACCCACAGGACAGTCACAGAATGCCCCTCCAACAGTAGCAACTCACAAGGAGCATTACCCAAGCCACAGAATCCTTAGCATACAGCACACCATAACATTCAGGCTACAAATCATACAAACGATTTCTTGGCTCAAAATGAAATGAAACAAGAAGCTGACGTCAGAAAAGAAGCTAGATTATTTGGAAACTAAAAAGCACACTTCTGTAACAAGTGGGTCAATACAGAAGAGCCAAGGGCTGGGATGTGGGGTCGGGTAGACCACTTACCTTGCATGGCTGAAGTTCAGGTAACAAGTGTCAAGAGAAAGGGTTTTGTTTTAGTATTTTGAACTAAACACTAAAACACAACTTAAAATTTGTGGGATCAAGAGCCAGCTTCATCATCTATGGTCCACAGTGCCTTACTGGTTCTAGGACTCAAATGTGTGTGTGGGGTGGGGGGAGGTTGAGGGAAAATTAGCAACAGTAAAAGGTTTCTGAATATGCCACAACCAAAATAATCAAACATTGTAATAGTCTGAATGAGAATGGCCTCCCATGGGCTTGTGTAGTTGAATGCTTGGTTCCCCCAGTTGGAAGAATTGTTGGCAAGAACTCGGAAGTGTGTCACTGGGGGTAGGCTCTGAGGTTTCAAAAGCCCACACCATTCCTACTTACTACTCTCTGCTTTATGCTCATACAAAAAAATAGAAGCTCTCAGCTACTGCTCCAGCGCCATGCCTGTCACCTTGTTCCATGTCATGGACTCTGACCCTCGGGAACTATGAGTCCCAGACTAAATGCTTTACTTTACGGGTTGTGTTAGAAATAGTGTATTAACACAGCAACAGAAAACTAATTAGGACAAACATGTAATGAATCCAAGATACTTCTAGACGCCTTCGCCTATGATGCACTCCATGACTTACACACAGCCTTGGATCTGAGCACATGATGTGAATCCTTTGTACTGTGTATGCAATGCTACCAAATGCTGCCTGAAGCACACTGGCTCAGATTTGATATTCACTAGGTTATGAGTTAGTGTTTATACTGTCTATACAAAATTCTCTTCTCTTGCAGAAATGTAATGTCATATAGTCATACACTTACAACAGTTTTACCTCCAGCATATAAATATCAAATCTGACTGTGTTTAGACTAGAATATGTTAGACTTTAATTTTAAGACTTGTTAAATGAATTTTGTCTTATGATTAGGACAAAATTTTACAATTTTCTGCAATGGCCCTAACCACTTCTGCCATTTGTACTACATACTTACTGGAGGTACTCTCAGCACTGATGATTATAAAGTCAAAATACTGGTCAACTTTTGGAAATACAGAAGATTCTCTAAATCCTACAACAGCAAGTACTCAAGATGTAACTCTTCATGTAAAAAAATATACGAAGACATCCATCTCCCCAGTGTGCAAACTTGCTTTTGTTGTTAGTAACTGGTAAAATTATATGTACACAAAGAACTTTGAAAATAAATTTCTCTGATTTATTATCAGTAAATGATTTGTATACCTATTTTGTAGTCCCAGAGCCAAATAAGAAACCTTAATCAAGAGCATAAGCAATATTCAAATTTATAGCACTGAATGCATATATTAGGGATAACAATCTAAAGGATGTAAGTTAAGCTTCCACCTTAGTAGACAAGAAAAGGACTAAATTAAATAAAAAAAAAAAAAAACAAGTAGAACAAAATAAGTAGTCCAGAGCAGAAAACTGGTAAGATTTAAACTGTAGTTTTGCTCATTTTTTTTTTATCCTGAAACTGTTCTAAGCAATAAAGTGTATTAGATTTTCTCAAAGAAGTAAGTTTCCGTTACTATTAGAAATACTACATGGTTCCAGCACTCAAGAGGCTAAGGCAGGAAGGTCATGAATCAGAGGCCAGCCTGACCTCTACATTTGAGACTGTCTCAGAAGATGGATGGATCGATGGACGGATGTTGCTCTTATATATAGTGGGTGGGAAGACATATATCGCAACTTACTATAAAGCTGCGGAAGTGGGGTGACAAGAAAACTGGCTCACCTGTTGCTTCAAAGGTCAATTTTATAGAACCCCATGGTGTCTTCTCTTTGGATATAAGTCTGAAATGTGCAGGATTTCTTGGAGAAATTTCTGGAGCCGGAAGATACCAATTTTTCCTATTGGAAAGGTAGCATTAATATTTAGGATGCATTCTTAACTGACAATAAGTAAAACATAACTCACAGAAGAGTTCAGAATACATAAGGGGTATGAAAACAGCTAATGAAAATGATAAATGATGCCAGCTTCTCTGATGCCCAGGCTGTGTAACAAATCCTAACTTTAAGATCAAAGAAGTTAAGGGCTGGAAAGATGGCTAAACAGTCAAAAGCTTGGCTGCTTTTGCAGAGGACCCAGGTTCAGTTCCCAGCATCTACATGTCAACTGACAGCCACCTGCAACTCCAGAGCCAGAGATTCAACGCTGTCTTCTGACCTTCAAAGGTATAAGGCACACACAAATGCACATATGAACATAACATATGTTCATATGTTATGAACATAAATGCAGAGAGAACATACATACACATAAAATGTGTCTTTTTAAAAGAACAGGGATTACCTAAGCAATTCCACTGTCTGTTTCCTCGGATGCAATTCTGAGATGCCAACTCTAAGAGCATCTCAAGCTGTTGCTTGTATTATATTAAGAGGATCACCCTTTCTAACTACTACTCAGGTTTCTTGAGGTTTCCTGAGTCTATTATCTGACTAACGAAATGAACATTTTGTAGTCATATTATAAACAAGCATTTTTTTGTTGTTGGTCTTTGTAAAGTATTACAAACATTTGACCGAATTAAGGGTAAGTTACAATGAATAAAAATCCTGATACATTGACAGAGTTTGGGTACTAACCCCCAACTTAAGCAAAAAGTAATGACCAACCTGATCAGAAAGTGCACTGGAAGATACCAAGGGAAGCCACAGAGTGGGGCATTCTCCTCACAGTGAGCTCGGATTGTATCATTGATCTCAGGAATGTGAGGTGTTACGTGAGACATCCCAGTATAATCAAACCCATTGATCCATATTCCAGAGTCTCTTTTTACTACATTTCCTTCCAAATTATGAAAAGTTCTACTCATGTGCTGAAAAGAACAGACTAGTAAGTAAGGAAACTGCTTTAGCTACTTCACCCACATCCCCACCCCATCCAAAACTGATTAGAAACAGGAAACAAAAGGGAAACTTAATAATTACTAAGTTATTGTCAGTGTTTTTTTTCCTTTTAAACTAGATGACAGATGCATAAATGACTGTTTTATTGTAAATCACAAATATAGTTGAAGTATATTTAAATTGTACATAAAACTTAGCTGGGTATTGGTGGGATACATCTTTAATCCCAGTACTTGGGAGGCAGAGGCAGGCGGATCTCTGTGAGTTCAAGGCCATCCTGGTCTACAAAGAGAGTTCCAAGACAGCCAGAGCTGTTACACAGAGAATCCCTGTATGTGTGTGTGTGGGGGGGGGGGAGTATATAAAATTGATGAGGAACATCGTGTATACTGTAGTCTCAATTACTCAGAAGGCTGAAGTGGAGGGTCATTTGAGCCCAGAAATTGAAGGAACTCTAGGCAATACTGTAAGAGCCTGTTTCAGAAAACAAAATGGGCTGGTGAGATCGCTTATAGTGGTTAGAGCATGTACCGCTCTTCCAGAGGACCCTGGTTAAATTCCAAGCAACCACATCAGGTGGCTTATAACAACCTGTAACTCCAGCTCCAGGGAATCGACATCTCTGGCTTCCTAGGGCACCTGCACTCAGATACACATACCCACACAGACATATTATACATAATCTAAATGTCTTTCTTAAAAACCCAAATGACAAATTGAAATTCTGCTCAAATTTAAGTTATAACTCCTCTCAGAAAAAGATTTAAAAGAAAACATGGAAAGCACATGTACATAAGCACAGTCATTTCCTCCTCAGTGCACTACATGCACTTAATCCATGTACAGAAAAAGACAGGCATGGCAGCAGACCGTGTATATGTCAGTCTTAATGCCCAAAGGGCTTACAACAGCCTGGAGCCAGGGAACAGTACGGAAAGGGCTGGCACGGCATGGCACAAGGAAGCATATGCTAGCTTTGGGTCGAATATAGCTGCTTTCACTCTAGGAAAGCAGGTTATCAGTGACAGAAACTTGCACAGCTAGCAGGGCCTAAAATAGTTATGATTTTGCCCATCAGGGGGAAAAGAACCCAAAACAAATCAGTCCTTTTAAAACTAAAAATGTAGCCTTTCCTAAATCCTACTGCCAGAGTTGGAACAATTGCCATGCCACTGAAGACCGTCTTAAAAACTGTTCTTCACCGAAGTTTTTACACAAAACATCACTGTCCTAAGACTACTACCAAAGACTAGTTGGCTTCCTTTCAAAATCTCTCAAATTGCAGTATTTTTAATCTTACAGTCCTTGAATAATTGTCTAAATTATGTCTCAGCATTGTGTGACCACTCTAAAAACTTTAACAAAACTGAAAAGGAGCCTCTGGTTATATAGTACCACTTCTAAGAGGTTTTGGAAAAAGACCTGAAATCTAAAGAAAGTTCTAAACTTCATTTTAATAATCCCTTTTTACATTATTTTCATCACATATTACATTGAATGTAACTAAGGCTCAATTTTACTAGCAATTTTTAATTTCTATTTTATTCTGCTAGTAATAGTTTAAGACTTTTTAGTCAGTCTACAGATATTTATGCAATTTGTATTTCAAATGTTCATGATTTCCAGATTATATATGTGCATCTATTATACACACACACACACACACATACATCATGGAAAGTGTGTCTAGCTAACAAGAATGCCCACTGATGGTCAGTATTCCTTATTGTTTATACACAGAAATCTAGACCAACTACATTATGTCAACGGCAGAAAAGTCAGTTTTTCTGTTCACTAGTGGAGCTCAAAGCACACACAGCAAATTTCATCTTCTGACTCTCACTGCTTATGAAGAACTGCCCTTACCTGAAGGAACACTCTCTTTGGCTTTGGACTCGCAGGATTGGAGCTGTATGGGAAAAAGACTCCACCGCAGACGAGGAGGAGTGTGACTGCGCACACCATTGTTAGAGTCAGCATGGTTTTCTTTGTGCTTTTCACAAGGTAGATGAATTTAATCTAAATACAAACACAGAAAAATTATGAATTCATACCACTGGTAGAGAGGAATTTTAAATGATTTTTTTTTAGTGAGTATTGTCACTAGGAGCCTGGGTAATGTACTGTAACACCCAGTGAACAAAGCACTAATTCCTCAGGTATTTCCGTCAGAGCCTAGAAAATGACAGGTGCCTTCAACTGGCCAGAACGGAACTTTGTGACAGTGGGCCAGAAACCACCAGGGAGAATGGAAACAAAGCATAATGACTCTGTGCTCAAACATCAAAGGAAAAAGGACCAGAATCCATTAGCAGTCAAGTCACTGCCTTCTGTGACTCACTGGCCAACAACAGCCAACCCTGCACAGCAGACTACACTCAACTGAACCCAAGCGTGGCATCAAAGCTGCCAAACTGTCAAAGGTGAGTTTTTATGCCTAAGCATGTGTTTCAACAAAATTCAGATTCCACCTTCCGTGTGTATAAAATACTATTAAGAGTTGGAGTCCTACAGACTAGTTTTTAGATGGATCTTCTGAAAGTTCCATTTGAAGAAAAACTACACTATGAAACAGTATTGTGCTTTTAAGTTAACCATTGTAAACACTAAACAATGAATCTGAAGTTAGGAAGGGTAAACATGAATAGCTCAGTTGCAAGGTTGGCAAAATATATTCTTCATCTTCCTGCCTACACCCTAAACTCACGAAGAACATGAATACAAACATATTTCATTGAGAAGAACAAAAAAATATGTATCAAAGTCTATGCAAAGTTAAAAGCGGCTCGTATCTCGTGTTCCCATATCCTTTTGGGGGCAATTTCAACCCAACAGTATTCTTGGATGGGAGGCCTTACTCTTGTTTATTACATTAGGAAATGATCACCCCAGACAGCAAAACAACTGGAACCCTACTTGTTCCTCTACTTAACTGTCATAATGTCCCAAATGTTTAAAATGTCCCAAGTAATTAGCTTCCCCTCCACTGGAAGCTTGGCAAATTTGGACATACAGATGCTGTTCAGTTAAAGTTGGATGAAGGAATGGAACAGGAAAGAAATGAATATATTTTAGTTACATGTATATTATTTATTTTATGTTTCAAAGCTTGCTATAGTGCTGTAGTTCTGGCACCCCCAAGCCTTGCTACTGCCAAAGCTGTCCTAAATTCCAACTTGAAGCTACCACTTCCTACTGAAGTTCCCTCTTCTCCAAATTGTAAGACTCTTCCTTCTGGGAGGTTATAAATGAATGGACTCTCTGAGTGAAGATGATGGTGTGGCCATAAAGAGATAGTATGCTTAGATTCCATAGTTAAGCACCTTTACAGTTGAATTGCCTTAAATGTTTTTAATCTTATATCATTTTTTAAGTTCTTAAATGAGTACAGAATCAAATGAAGAAGCTATGTGTGGTAGCACAGTCCTGTAATCCCAGCACTTGGTAGTGGAGGCAAAAGGATCACAAGTTCAAGGTCATCTTCAGAAAGTTTAAGGCTAGCCTGGGCCACGTTAGACCTTGTGTCAAAACACCAAAATTAATGAGTAGTGGATCTTGGAAGATGGCTCAGTGCGTAAGAGCACTCACTGTGCACACATGAAGACTTGAGTTTTAATCCCCTGTACCCATGTAAAAAGCCAGGCATGACTACCCATGCCCCAGCACTGGGGGCGGAGACAGGCAGATCCTGGGAGCTCAGAGGTTGGCCAGCCTCGCTGAAAAGCAAGCTTCCAATTCAGTGAGAGTTATTCTCTCAGGGACATAAGACAGGGCCTGGTAGGGGAAGGTACCTAATGCCGTTCTGTGCCCTCAGAATGCCATTCACCCACATATGTGTATACAACACACATGAAAAGAAAAAAAGGGCACATATAAAGGACCCCAGTGTAGCCTGTGTGAACTATGACAGGGCTGTTACCCCATGCTTATCATCAAGCCTATTTCAGCTCTCAGCCAATGGATACAACCATGGTACCCAACCAAGAATAACTCTAGGGAGTATGGTAACTTATCACTTAACAAGAATGTAATTGTTTTCTAAAACATGTGTTTTAAAAGCCTCAATGACTAAGACACTTCTCTGAAGTAAAGATTATGGTTTAGTGCTCTATTACCCAAGGAACAACCTCATTCAGTTAGGAAGCCACTGTCTTCAACTGTGGCACATAAATAAGAAAACAGTTAAGCAGAAAGAGACAAGAGCCCCTGAACAAATGGGGAGCATTGGGGGAGGGAGGGGAGAAGAGGGGGAGAACATGAGGGATCAGGAAGATTGAGTGGGGAGACGAAAGAGAAGAGCAAGAAAAGAGACACATCAATAGAGGGAGCCACTGTAGGTTTACAGAGAAATCCGGCACTAGGGAATTGTACAGAGCTCCACAAGGATGACCCCAACTAGGACCCTAAGCAGTAGTGGAGAGGCTACCTTAAATGTCCTTCCCCTATAATGAGAATGATGACTACCTTAAATGCCATCCTAGAGTCTCCATCCAGTAGCTGATGGAAGCAGAAGCAGAGATCTACAGCTAAGCACTGAGCCAAACTCCTGGAATCCAGTTTCAGAGAGGGGGGAGTGACGAACAAAGGGGTCAAGACCACACTGGGAAAACCCACGGAAACAGCTGACCTGAGAAAGTGGGAGTTCATGGTCCCCAGTCTGACAGTTGGGGAACCAATAGGACCAAACCAGGCCCCCTGAACATGGGTGTCAGGAGCACTGGGCAGTCTATGGGGCCTCTGGCAGTAGAACCAGGATGTATCCCTAGAGCAGGAATGGACTTCGTGAGCCCATTCCCCAGGGAGGGACACTCTCTTAGCCTAGATACACAGGGGAGGGCCTAGGCCCTGCCCCAAATGACTTGACAGATTTTGATGATCGATCATTGAAGGCCTCACCCTTCCTGGGGAGTGGATGGGGGGGTGGGATAAGGGGGTCATTGGGAGGATGGGAGGGAGAGGGAACTGGGGTTGATATGTAAAATAAGATTGTTTCTAATTTAAATAAAATTTATATATATTTTTAAAAAAGAAAACAAAGAGAAAGATGACTTACAGGTAAGAGTAACAGCACCATTTTCACATAGTAATGAAAAGGAAATATGGTTTCTTTCTGTCTAGGGGAAGAATGGTGGTTTTGAGACAGGTTCTTACTACATAGCCTTGTCCTCACCTAACCTATAACTCATACCAGCCTGGCCTTAGACTCACGTACATTCCAACACCCTCACTTGTAAATTTTTTTTAATATTCCAAGAGGTATTCTGTCCAAAACCCTTCCTAATAATACTTTCTGGTAACACTAATCTCGTTCTTTTAGCTTCCAAGAAAGCCATGACTGGAGGACTTTCCTACTCTCCAGTTTCACAGGCTCCTTATTCTCCCTTCCACATGATCATGGGATAGGACTCAAATGTCCTACATCTGAATCACCTTTATAGGCACCACAAGTTTCAACCATCTAGGACAATGGTTCTCAACCTGGTGGTCGAACAGCCTGTTCACAGAGTCACCTTAGACCATCAGAAACACGTATTTACATTATGATTCACAACAGTAGCAAAACTGTAGTTATGAAGTAGCAACAAAAATAACTTCTATGGTTGGGGTCAGCACATGAGGAACTGTATTAAAGGGTCACAACATTAGGAAAGTTGAGAACCACTACTCTATAGAGAAAGTGCAATGAAAACCTGCTTCATAATTCATAGCTACCTTTACACCAGACTTCCATTTACAGAGGACAGAACTCTACTCTCTCCTTTACAGTTGCATTTTGTTTTTTAGGACAAGGTCTCAATATGTAGTCGAGGTTGGCTTCAAACTCAGGACCTTCCTGCCTCAGCCTCCCAAGTGCTGGGACTACCATTATGTGTCTTCATGCCCGGGCCTCTATCTCTCAAACTGTTATTATGGTTTGAGTGGGAAATGTTCCCTTCAAGCTGGGAAGTGCTATCTGGGGAAACCAGCAATTACACAGGCAAAGTCTAAGTGAAGAAAACAGGTCTTGGGTTTGTTGTCACAATCTCATCTAGACCGCCACAGGTTCCCACCACCAGAAGCTCCACTGCCTTCCCCACCATGATGGACAGTATCCTCAGGAACCATGAGCCAGAATAATTTTTTCCTTTCTTTTTTTTTTTTTTTTTTAAATTTTTTTTTGGTTTTTCGAGACAGGGTTTCTCTGTGTAGCTTTGAAGCCTATCCTGGCACTCGCTCTGGAGACCAGGCTGGCCTTAACCTCACAGACCCCCCTGCCTCTGCCTTCCGAGTGCTGGGATTAAAGGCGTGCGCCACCAACGCCCAGCCTTATTTTTACCAAGTATTTGCCACAGTGATAAGAAAAGTAAGAACACTTAAATACATGGTTGAAGGGTTAATAATAAAACTAGAAGTAAACAACAAACATTAGGATTCCATCACCCTCTGTAAATACCAGTAAGAGCTAATCATTACCCTGTAGGTTTTGTTTGTTGGGAGGAGAGGTCATTTCTGTGTTGGGGAACTGAACCTAGGGCCTCATGCATCAGTGAGCTACTGCCTCAGCCTTTAATCTGTATCTTAATGGCAAGCAGTTGAGATGTCAGGTTTTCTTTTAGTACTAGTATAGCCAATAGCAAGCAGTGTGCATAAGAATGACTTTAGTAAATGCAGAGCTTTCCTAGTAGCTGGGGAAATTCCATTGATGGTGTGGACTATGACTGTGGCATCCCCCTTACCTCGCTAGGTCTTCAGGACTTAATTTCCACAAGGAACTCCTTTCACTGCAGGTATGAAAAAGCTCACCATCGTCCATGAACATCTAAGCAGTCAGGAACTGCAGTCCCTGTCTTCACTTGGTTCCCTAGCCTCAGATCTCAAGGCACCCTATATAATAGGTGCTCAGTAAGTACTCCTTAGGAATTGCAACTGAAAAAGCACAAAACAGCTGCTTTCCCTAGAGAGACTCAGCATCTGCTTTAGACATCTTGCCAAAACAACTTGTTCTAGTCCACATTAATCAACCATCTTTTCTTTCCATTAAGGAGTCCCATGAGAAAAGAGGTCCAGACAAACCAAGGTAAGATTGCATACCTGGGCAGTTCACTCATAGACTGATAAGCATGTATGGGTATCACCCCAAGAGGAAAACTTCATGCATTTTGACATGACAGCAATGAAGTAGTAAAATGATAATGAAAATGCCTCAATGGCACACATAAAAAACATTACTGAAACTACTCTGTATTAACATTGGCCTCTTAACTACCATCTTCAAAACATGTTCATAGGGACTATTGTGAAAGTTCAGGAACAGAACATTTCAGTCCTCACTTGGTATATATTCTGCACGTCCATATCTGTTAGGATAGATATAAAAGTCTCTCTCCCCACCCCTCTCCATATATATGTATGTATGTATGTGTTTTTTTTTAAACAGTAACAATAAGACAGGGCCTCACCATGCTAGGATATATATGGAAGGCAGTCTCTCTCTCTCTCTCTCTCTCTCTCTTTTTTTGAGGCTTTTCCTGGAACTAGTAAAACAGCAACAATAAGATGGAGGCTCACCATATAGCCCTGGCTGGTCTGGAACTCACAGATCCTCTTGGTTCTGAACCCACCATGTACAAACACTGACCCTATCTTTTGTTTAATTTTTTCTTAATAAAGTATAAGCAACATAAATTCACAGAATCCAGTACAGCTAAAGTCATCACATATATAAAAAATAAAAACAAACAAAACCCATTTTTCCTTACAAAATAGGAGGAGAGAATCATCACACAGACAGCCAGAATGGAGGCTAGCACAACATCAGGAGGGATTTCCGAACCGCTTCTTCCAAGGATAGGAGTAAACATCTCGAATACAGCCCAGATGAGGTACAGTCCATAAAGATATGGGATAGACATCCCCAAAAGGTAAAAGGCAATCAATCTTCCTTGGGCACCTAGGGGAAAAGAAAGAAAACAAGCCTGTAAGAGTCCATGATAAGATGAGGGGCTCCTTTTCACAGTGTTCACCTGCTTTGGCAGAAACTGAGTCAGATGTCACTCTAGTCCCTTTGGTACATGTGATCTAGTGCAAGCAGGCATTTTCATCAGGGAGGATATTAAAGTAATATTAAAAGTAATATTATTCAGAAACATGAGAATGGGATGGGGGATACAGTATAAGGTAAATAATTGTATGACATAAAAAATAAATTATTTTGGAAACCCAGTTGGTTAGATATATAATCACTAGGAGCCTTGCATTTTTATTACAGTTCCCATTTTTATCAAAAACCAAAATGTCCCTACCGTGCTTCTTGAAGTCCTTGTACACGCAAAGCTTTGTGAACAATGGAAATGCTACCCAGATAGCACTTATGAATGCAGAGCAAAATCCTTGGTAAGTGAGAACAACAAGAAAGCCACAATGCACAAACAATGAGGTGTCAAAAAACACTTCTCCCAGATACTGGTTGCTGACATTCTGAAAGAAAGAGAAATGCAATCTTGTTCACAGTCATTCATAAAGTTCTCTTATTACAATTTCTTCAAGGCCAAATGCATAATTTCCAGCCTGGGCAACCCTTCAAATTGATGAAGGAAACACTCACACTGCTACTCCTGCTAGGTGTGACTGACTGCAGCTGCTACACAGGACTAGACAAAGAAGGCAAGAGCAACACAATGGAAACATTCCTAAAGACATCCATCCCATAATTCCTTTTGTTTCTGCAACTTCCAAACACTGTTACAAGCAATCTAGTGGGTCACAAAGGACATTACCAGCTGCTACAGCATCACAAAGCACCTATCACACCATTCACCCTTCACAGCAATGGTCATGGTGGGTGTGTGGCTTGATTTTCCTGTCTCTCCTCTGCTACTTCATCATCTTTGCCACTCTGACACTTTTTTCTACTCTAGTCTCATATGTTTGAAGTTCCTTTTAAAGAAAGACATGGAGTCCAAGGGCATCTTATACTATTTAAGAAGAAAGCTGCCTACGAAACTTCAAATATTATGACATACCAAAGTGATTCCATAAATCCAAACCTCAAATTATAATTACAGCGCATAGATACCAAAGAGAGAATGGCTGGTCTTTAAGCTTGTTTTTCTCTTATTCTCATTTCTGTCTTAAGGAACCACACTTTAAAGTTCACTACCAAACAGGTTTGGATCGTTAAATACTTAGATGCCCCACCCATTGTTAAGAGGCATGGTCTTAAAAGAAAACAATTTTCAGACCTCAACCTGAAGGCTAGATGGGCGATGCACACCAGTGGTCCCATCACTCCAGAGGCTGGGTCGAACACCCTGAAGTATGAAGCTGGGCTGGGTTACAGAACAAGATTCTTACCCAATCTGGGAATACAGTGAGGCTCTGCCTCAAAATATTCAAAATAGTAATAGCAGAAGTAATTCAGTCTGAAACTGAATGCACTCAAAGAGCTTCGTAAGGAACACTGAAACTATTGAGCATGTTTTTCAGTAAATGCCTGAGCTGAATAAATGAAAAAGTAGTCTTCAAGTATGTTTCCATCCACACCTCTATCGATCCCTCACGCTGTCCTTTTCCAAAATAGTTGCCAGAGTTTTTTTTTTTTTTTACTAAATCACAAAACCACTCAACTCTATCCTACTATGAATAAGTTAATGGTGGCCTAACTGATATTTAGGGACAAGCTCCAGTTTCACCCTGACCTTCCCCTGTGTACTATATGGTTTTTATTCCCTTGTCTTCACCACACTAGACTTTGTCTTTGACTATGGCCCAAATGTGCCTTGCACATTCCCACTTTTGACTATCACCAGCCTGTTCTCTATCAGGCACTCAAGCTTCTAAAGCCCCATTCAAATGTCACCACCTTCATGAATAAAGTCTCACTCAAAACCCATGCCCCTCCCCCTGCATTCTCAAAGCACTACTTCATAAGCACAAAGTGAAGCTGAGCAAAAAGACAGATATCACATTCTCAGGAGCACTCAGCTAAAAGAGTCTCTAAAACAGTGAGGCACACGGATGGTACTGGCCTACAAGCCCAGCTACTCAGGAAGCTGGCAGAAGGAGCACATGTTCAAGACCCACCTGGGATACAGTGTGAGTTCAGGGCCAGCCTGAGGAAATTTAGTGAATCCCAAAAGTAAAAGCAAAAAAGAGATAGTAAAGTGTTACATTAAGCAAGGATGGGGACGTGTATTCCAACCCCAGGGCCCACAGAAATTAGCTGGGCACAATGGCACTCACTGGTAATCCCAGCTTGGATAAACAGAGAAATGCAGGTAGGTCCCTGAGAATCAGCCAGCCAACCTAGCCCTGATAAGCAAGCCCCAGGCCAGTGAGATCCGGTATCTAAACAGCTCCTTTGCTCCTTGACTGTTCCAGGCCTGCAGCCATCAAGACAGACACAGTTAACAATACAGACAGGGAAGCTCATGCCTAAGCTGCCTCTGGGGAAACAATGACCACTGATGCCCTTCACCCTGGGAAGGCAAGAGTACCAAAGGCAGAAATTGGGGAAATGCTAGACAAGATGCACAAAACCACACCAAATGACATTTTTGATTTGGATACAGAACCCATTTTGGAGGTGGCAAGACAAACTGGCTTTGGTATGATTTATGAGTCTTTGGAATATGCAAAGAATGAGCCTAACACAGACTTACATGACATGGCCCTTATGAGAAGAAAAACCTCCAGAGAACAGCAAAAGGAACCCAAAAAGAATGAGGAGGGTAGAACTGCAAAGGCCTGGCTGGTGCTGGCAGAAAGCAAACAGAGTAGAGATTCTGCATTTCTAAGGAGAGAACAAATAATCTAAAAAATTCCACGAATACACACCATACATATGGACACATGAATATACAATGGGCATGTACACCAAAAAACAGCAAGAGCACCAAGGATACAGACTAGAGCTGAGCACTTGCTCAAGCATGTGCAAAGCCCTGGGCTCCATCTTCTGCACTGTTACAAAGTAAATGCATACTGTAAGCATTACTCTTCTACTGTGCCTTCAGCACCACATGCTATGTGATCAGACCACTGGAATCTGAGAGCAAGTGGAATTTTGTTTAGCATTTCTACCCCACAACTAACCAATCAACACTATTCAACCACACTCTGATTTACAGAGAGAACCATGCTGAGAACAGGCATGGGACACTGAAGCCACCCTGAGAAAAGTATGATCTGAGCCACAGGAGATGGCTAATGCCTTTCTTCAATAGGGTATGCTAACATGGAAGGGTTCCTCACATCCTTTCTCATTAAATGACAGATAACAAAGGTATCTAGTAAGAGGGTGCTAAATGATAATCTTTCAGGCATCCATCTTAATCCATGTCAGGACAAACTGACACACTGAGGAGGGAGTGGGGGTGTCCATTGAGTGTCCTGAAAACAAAGAACTAAGATTTCTCTCAGTTACATTAGAAAATTAAATTAGAACTTTCTTACTGTAGTTCATTTTTGGTCTATTACTTCATAACTGAAATCCCTCATTTTTACACGGTTGAAATTATAATAATATGAGGATATTCTCTAAAAATCAGTATGAATTATTTAAAACTGTATTTCTCTTCCCATTCCTAATAATATGGATTTTGTTTTGTTTTGTTGGGGTGATGTGTTCACTGTAAAGATCTGTCACTTGTATTGGTTTAATAAAACACTGATTGACCAATAGCCAAGCAGGAAGTATAGGCGGGGCTACCAGACTAGGAGAATGCTGGGAAGAAGAAAGGCAGAGATGGAGTCGCCAGCCAGACACAGAGGAAGCAAGATGAGAATGCCTTACTGAGAAAAGGTACCAAGCCACGTGACTAAACATAGATAAGAATTATGGGTTAATTTAAGTTGTAAGAGCTTGTTGTAATAAGCCTAAGCAATAAGCCAGACAGTTCATAATTAACATTAGCCTCTGTGTGTTTATTGGGGACTGAACAGCTGCAGGACAGGGCTGGACAGAAACTTCTGTCTACAGCTGGGATTTTGGGGGGGGGTGAGGGTGGGGAGGTCAAGACAGGGTTTCTCTGTGTATCCCTGGCTGTCCTAGAACTCACTCTGAAGACCAGGCTGGCCTCGAACTCAGAGATCTGTCTGCCTCTGCCTCTCGATAGTGCTGGGATTAAAGGCGTGTGCCACCACCACCGGGCTCTAATAATGTGTCTTTAATTTTGATAATAGACACATTTTGCCAAAACTTGCATCAAATACATTTAAGAGTTCCTAGCTCCAAATCTTCAAATGTGAGTATAAATCCTTTAACTGCAGATAAAAAGGTACCATTGCTGGGATGTGTGGGGTGAGGATGGAGGAAACAATAGAGGGTATATCAGGGTAAAAATAATCTAATCAGAGAAATGGGAAAGGGGGGTACTCTAGTTAGAGATGGGGAAGGAGATAAATATAGAAGGTGGTAGGAGGAGGTAAAACAACTAAGGATGTCTGAAAAAGTCTTACAGAATCATACTATGATGTGCATAAATACACATATATAGTTTAAGTGAAATTTTCTCATATGGGCTGAGAATGCTCCCTCCAAGAGCTAAAGGCCATCTAACAAAAACCTTAACACCAGGCTTAAGAAGCTCTCTTTTAAAAGATTTTGGTCAGAGTTGCCCAAGAGAGTCCCAAAACATTATAGGCTATTGTTATTGCCCTTGGTTGCCCCTCACAGGTGGAAGGTAAGTCCCTACTGCTCAAGACACTATGTACAGACACAGGACCCACAGGCCTGTAAGGTGGAACGGACCAGAATGCATCCTCCCTGGGGTACCAGAAGGCAGCATGCAAGCTTCCAAAGGAGGGAAGCAACCAATAGTCCTACCTACCCAGCTATGAAGCCTGTGAACTATAATGACCAGCATGGCAAGAAAACCCTAAGGGTGCAGTAGTGGCACACATATATTGGTAGTAATCAAGCTCTCTAATGGGACTGAAGACACATTCAGAGGGAAATCATGCCTGGTACTAGAAACCCAGCCAGCTACCCAGGGCTTCTTAATCCCTAACTACATTCTAAATGTCCTTAGACCCACATATAAGTGTAGTCCTCACCCTGAATCAAGGAAACTTTGCAACAGATGGAGACCATTACAGAAAACCACAACCAATCAAAATGTAAAATTGTGGAGCCCAGTCCCAATGGCTACATCTATAAACAGCTCTAGAACCTAAGGCTCAGGGAACATCGCAGAGGTGGGGGTACAAAGATTCTAAGAGCCAGAGGATCAGGGAGTTTGCTATGAGACTGTCTCCTAGTAATATCAAAAGCTACATCCATAAAGTCTCACCAACATGACTGTCTAAATGAGCTGCACAAGGCCTCAACCCTACACAAAGAAAAACAGGCAACTAAGGAATGCTGAGAGTAGGAGAAAAATAGTCTTTTAGAAATTGGTTATCCAATACCAAAAGGCCTTGTCTAAAAACATGCATGAGTAACGGTGTATAGACTAAAAAAGGTATATGAACATACACATATACACATATACATACATGCAAGTAACAACTAATGAAAATAGAGGTCATGAATTTGAAAGAGAGCAGGAAGGGGTATATGGGAGGGATTAGAAGGTGGAAAGAGAAGGGAGAAATGATATAATCTTAAAAATAAAAGAAAGAGTGAAGGGAAAACCAATGAGAACATTTTAAATGCACTATTCTGTTAGGAAAGAAGTGCTCACTGTGTCAAGTTGTGTCAGACATTGCTTAAGTACAAGTGATGCAGCAGAGAGTTCAGTAATGCCACCATCATCAGCCTTAAAGTCCAGAAGAGCACAGTACTATTGACACATAAATAAGTTATAGAAACAACAGTGGAGGCAGAAAGCCATGCAAACAAGCCTCACTACCACCACCATTCCAAATGCTGCGGAAAACACAGCTTTGTGACTTCACTTAAATTCTGCATCCCAATTCTCAGAATCAGAAAAATCCAGGAAATTAACACTATGGCAGCATTTTCTATAGCCATGCTGAACAATTTCTAATAGCTCTGAAAGACCATACACAATAAATTTCACTTATTTGTCTTCAATTCTTGAAAGCAGCAAAAAGAAAACAACAAACACATCAGCCACTTACCACATAATAAAATCTTTTTGCAAGGGTATGTATGAGTATTATTTTAGCCACTGTTGCAGTTCCATACAGGCAAACAGCAACATAAAAGTGGTTGTACCATGAGAGAGACTGTCCAATGAGAGAGACGAACACTGCTATAATAAGAACTGTAACAAGGCTAGTGAACCAGCTAATGAAAGTGATGGCAAGTCCACACAAGAAGTCTCTCGTGTAGTCAGCATCTAATAAAGAGAAAACAAAAAGTTAACGTCATCATCTTCATCACATCAATTACAAAACCAGTTAGTAGTGCTAAAGAGACAAATATTACAACAAATAATTCACTACTGTAATTGTAGTAGAGTGTAGAAAACTGAATGGGATAAGAATAAAGGATGATATTCAAGAGCACAGTGAAAAGTCCCATGATAATAAAAATGCTTAAGAGATGTCTCATAAGAACAATTCAGATATTCTTACTAGGCAAAGAGGTGGAAATCTTCACCATTTTGGGGATGCTTTGTTTATCTAAGTATTAGCAAAGATCTTTAAAAAGCAAAGTTCCATATAAACTCTTGCTAAAAGACAAGAGAATATGGCTGGCAAGATGGTTCAGCAGGCAAGTATACTTGCCATACAAGCCTGTAGTGATAAATTGTTTATGACCTAACAAATAAAGCTTACCCAAAGATCTAAGTGTGGAGCTAGCCACACTAGTTAACCATAGATCCTAGGCAGTGTGGTGCACACCTTTAATCTCAGCACTGGAGAAGCAAAGGCAGGCGGATCTATGTGAGTTCAAGACCACCCTGAGCTACACAGGATTGATCCAGTCTAAAAGAGAAATAGCCAACAGTAGTGGCTCATACCGTTAATCTCAGTACTTGGGAATCTTGTGCTTTTAATCCCAGCACTAGGGAGGTGGAGACAAGAGTGATATGGCTATGCGGAGAGAGGAATATAAAGTAGGAAGAGATAGGAGCTCATGGCATTCAGTCTGAGATTCCTAGATACAGGATCACCCATTTGGTTTGAAGATTCAGTAGAGATAAGAGGTCTCTCATGTGTCTGGCTCCTTTACTTCTCTGATCTTTCAGTATATACCTGACTCTGGGTTTTTATTATTACAACCTATCAGAACTCATGTTACACAAGCTTAACAGCCTGAGTTCAATCCCCAGGCCACACAGAACTGAAGCCCACAAGTTGTCTAATGACTTCACACATACACACTGTCACATACTACCACCCCCACACATGCACACACACACACATATGTAAAAATGTTTTAAAAGATGTTAACATTGGAAAACAATGACAGGGAAAATAACTGGTAGTAAAGAGTTATTTAAATTGCTGCTAAATACTTATCTTGAATGACACACAACAATTTAGCCTCTGAAACATTTCAAGCAGAAATGATTTGGGTAGAAGAGAACAGTTTAACCAGAAGTGCTGCATCCATCTTCTGGACTGTGCAAATGGCCTGTAGTGGAGAAGACTTAACGGGGCTTTTCACTAACAATCAATCTACAGCACCCGCAGGACGGCTGAGCAGGACAAGCTGATGACCCCAGGACCCATATGGTGGAAGGAGACAGCCAAGTCCCACAAACTGTCTTCCACACTTGTATATGTACACACACACACACACACACACACACACACACACACACACACACACACACACACAAACACGCACACGCACACGCGCACACACACACACACAATACCTAAATAGTTTTAAAAACTAAAAAGTCAGCTTCTACAAACCTGTTTTTTTCTTTTTGGTTGTATGTAAATTTAACTTTTAAGACAAGTTATAGAGCTGAATATTACTGAATTTCAAGAAGCACATATGAAAGCACCTCTCATATCATTTATAATATTAAAGCTCTGTTTCAGTATTACTAGTAATTTTACATCGTAACAAAACAAGCAACTGTGAGAGTCAAATGGACAACAGACAGCTTCCACAGATCCCTGCAGGGCACAGAGTATTGCACTGCACAACAGGTCTTCAGCATTATTTAGCTATTTGGCTCTGCTTTCCATTAGTTTGGCTAAGGCAGACAAATCGGCGAACTTTACCAGTTTCAGTTTGAGTGCAAAAACTGTTGACTTCACCAACCTGAAAGTATAATGAGCATACCAATTCAGTACTTTTCTAGGAATTTCTAAAAATATAAATTAAGTAATATTCTCCTGTACTGTACTTCCTGGGAAGAAATAAAAACAATAGCTAAAATCTCTCCAGAAATGACACCCGCATTCAGAATCCACACCTTAGAGGGAAATACTTACTCCTGTGTTTGGGCTGCAGCAGTTTTTTCCCCAGGTACAAAACAGCAGCCGTAACAGCCATGTAGTTTATTATTGTGCCAACACGAGAAGGATATGCGATGACAAGCAGGCCGAACACATCAAAGAAGACCACGTTCCCATGTCGATACTCAGACGAAGAGGCCAGCATGTCAGATGTAGCTAGATATTTAAGAACTGCTAAAATGTTGTCACCTTTTAGTAAGAAAGATAAGATCTAGTAAACTATTGGAGGGTGACTTACGCATACCATGCAAAGTAGAAACAGATCAGGCACTATTTGAAACAGAAGTACCTGGGAGCAGTGTGAGCAGGCACCCTTTCTACCATCCACTGCTCCCCCCTTTCTTACCAAATTTCCTAGGTAAGGAAGGCCCCTGCTCTTGCTTTTCTTCCTCTACACTTAGAAGCTCAACCTTGACCCTAAGATCAACTTTATAACCCTAAATCTCTACTTCAGGCCTTCCTTGTGGAACACATAACTATGTGAGACCCTGTTCTAAAGACCAGAAACTGAGTGGTGAAACAGACAAAGCTTCTCATGATGTTAATCAGCACAGAAAAAGCTTCTACAGAATGTTAAGAATTATTGGGAAGGGGAAGAAAAGGCAGGAGGATTATGAATTCGAGGCCAGCCTAGGTTACACAGCAAGTTCAAAGCTAGCCTGAGCTTACAGCAAGACCTTCTCTTAAACAAAAGTAAAACCAATGTTTTCTAAAAGGGGCTGGAGAGGTGGCTCTGGGACCAGTGATACAGTGCTTGACTGGAATGCATGCACAAGGTCTGGGTTTGGTCCCCTGTACTTAGGGTGACAAACAAGAGCCAATAAAAATAAAAAGCACATTTAGTCAGAGGGCAGAAGGGTGACAACTTCAAGGTCATCCTGGGCTACATGAGAAATCCTATCTCAACAAAACAAAAAAATGGGCTACATGAGAAATCCTATCTCAACAAAACAAAAAAAATGTGGTAATGTATGCCAGCAATCCTATCATCTTGACGAAGGGGCCCAGAGACTGATAAGTACTTAGCAGCTGGGCCTGCACAGTAAGTAACAATGGTAGAACATAGCTAAAACCGTCCAGATTAACAGAATATGTCTAGATGAGAGACAGAGAGATTCCAAATAAAATGCACGTACCTACTTTCCCAGCGCTCCTTCTTTTGCTCCTATCTTTTGCCAGCCCTAGTCAAGGCTCTGCTTATTGCATATAAATGACTGTCAGAAGGCTAACTACTCACCCTCTACCCCATACTGCATTGCCAGACAGGGAACACTTAAAATCACCTTAATGAGTTCATTTATAGACTCAGACCTGCATTAATCCCTTATTCCTTTAGCTTATTTCTGAATTTAAAAATATTTTAAATCACATTTTTATTTATTGGGGGTGCTGCACGCCACTGCATGTGGTCAGGACAACTTTCTGGAGTCAGTTCTCTCCTTCTAATGTGTGAGTTCCAGGGATCACATTGAGGCTGTCAGGTATGGCAACAAGTACCTTTATCTGCTGAACTATCTTACCAACCACTTGTTTTTTAATGCTAGGGTTGGAATCCAGGGCCTTGCATATGTTAAGCAGTACCCTACCACTAAGTCTTGATGGTTTTTAAGTCATCTACAATTTCCTTCCCCCATATGCTTCAACCTTGTCTTCTACTTCTGAAATACGTCATTCTAGTCTGAAGCCTTCCACTCCCATGCCCTACCCCGTTTCCTCCTTCCCATACTGTGCTCTGACCTAAAAAGTCATCTTCTCTCCATAACCCCAATCCCTATCAACTCTTCAGGGCTCAGGTTTGCCTCCCTAATGTCTCTGGCTCTCTGGGAAGCATTGCAATGCTCTATGCTAGGTCAGGGCCTCATCTGTCCTCCCCACCCTATCACGGACCCATGTTATCGCCCTCTACTCTCAGCTATGCCACAAACCCATTCCTGATGCTACCTGGAGTTCATTACCATTCAACAATCCTACAAGCCTGGGGCTGCCCCTTCCAAATCCTCACAGTGAATCTGCATCTCCCACCACAGCCCTGAGCCACTCTTTTCTAAGTAACCACAGTGACAATTTCTAAGTTTTTAATTGCTATGTCAGGCAGTAAAGACTAAAATTCAAGCCCTTATCTTTCCAACTCCAAATCTAACTCATTTAACCACATACGGTCTCTCAACCACACAGGGTAAAGAACACACTTTCTAGATATTTCATCATTGTATGTCAAAAGCCAAACCTGTTAAATACCAACCTGCTCTCTGAATGGAATCTATGAGAATTCTGTCCGCTGTGTCATACTTGGTGTGATATATGTATCCATTTTCAATAAAAGCTAAATCTATTCCTAAGACAGACAATGGAAAAAGTCATCTTACTTTAAAGACCAGACTTGTGTTAGACCTGTTTGTTTAACATTAAATTCTAAAAGACAAAATGGCAAAGCATGAGGTTGACTGATGTCTGTCATATTCATGAATGTTATAAACCCTTTTTTCTGTTCTTTGTATAGATTTTGTAAATCTATAGCTTTGGTCCATAATTTAAAACATAATAATTAAAGCATTTTAAGTCGCACATTAGAGAACAAAGCTTGGGGAATAGAATTTGGTCTATACAAGTCACCAAAGGAGTTGGAAATGCAAGACAAAGACCCTGAGGACCCTTGGCATCTTTGGGGGTGAAGAACTCAACAGTTGTCTCCATCTCCCACTCTGTGGTCCACAACACCACCCTACAGCAGGCAGCATTTCAGTTACTATGGGGTTTTAAAGCATATCATCAAGAACTCTGCTTTGGTGAGTCAGAAGATAAAGCTCTCATATACAGCATCCTCAAGAAGTTAAGTTTTTTACCTAATAGTCTGTGCCACTGACAGAGTACCTGGAATGTTTCCAAAGTCCCTGTAGATCCGGAAGTCAGTGTCAGAAGGAATGATTCCACTCTGAAAAACCTCCTGAGCCACCACGGAAGCAAATGGGTGCTTAGCTGCTGAGACATAAGCTTGGACCAGCCAAGGATTTTCAGGGCCTGAAATGAAACGAGACAATGCAATACAAGGTTAACCAGATAGCAATGTTCAACATACCACATGTGGTTGGCTGCACTGAGGAAATCTGAGCAACAGCTAACTGATGATTCTTTTAGTTAACAGGATTCTTTTAGGAGTGGTGAAAATGTTCTAGGAGCTGAAGAGATTACTCAGTGGTTAGAGTTTTTACTGCTCAGTCATGAGGACACGAGTTCGGTTCCCAACACCCATGTAAAGGGGCTCACAAACACATATAACTCCAGCTCCAAGGGATCCTATGACCTCTTTAGACCTTTTGGGGTGCCTGCACAGACATGTATACACATTCACAAACATGAGCACACACTCATAAACCTTTTTTAAAATGCTCGAGAATTATGATAGTGGTACACAACTATGGAAATACTTCAAAAAAAAAAAAAAACACTGACTTTTTCCATTTAAGTTGGTGAACTTACAGGACATTTAAATTTATCTTGATATAATAAGCCATGATTTATTTTTATAAATACTTAACATATACATTCTAAAGAAGACTACAGTTGCAAAATACTACATGGTAAGGAAATAATATGTGTATGTGTTCATGTGCATAAACAGACATTATTTAAAAATCCCAGAAGGATGTCGAACAAATTGTAGTACTGGTTTGCTCAGGGCGCTGCAAATGCCATGAGTGTCTGGCTTACAGGATTTCTTCTACTCAGCTGGTAGAGCCTGGATTTTTCAAAATGGAACATATATTAATAGTTTAATCTGTTTAAATTTTACAAGGTGTATTTTTTAAAGATTTTATTTATTTGTTATTTATTATGTATACAACATTCTGCTTCCATGTATATCTGCACACCAGAAGAGGGCACCAGATCTCATAACGGATGGTTGTGAACCACCATGTGGTTGCTGGGAATTGAACTCAGGACCTCTGGAATAGCAGCTGGTGCTCTTAACCTCTGAGCCATCTCTCCAGTCCTACAAAGTGTATTTTATTAACACCTTCAAACATGATGCCAGCAAGCATCTTGACTCACTATGGTGCTGGTCTGGTGGGCCACTGTTTCTGACATTAAGCAAGAGTGATTATTCCAGCCACCAAAAGCTCCCCAAATGAGCATTTCCCTCTGAAATGGCAATGGCGCTCTGGAGTAACAAACTGTTTGATATGAAAAGCCAGGACAGGACAAGTTTCACCACTCAGAATAATGCTGAGAACGGCAATCTGACACATGTTCTCAAACACAACCCACATCTGCTGGCCCAGGGGTGCCTGTTCTCATAGTCAAACTCGTAAATGCTAATGGGCTTTCTAGAGGACAGCACCACAGGAAAGCTGGTGTCTAAAGGCAGTGAGTGGTGCTGCTGAGATCATAAGTTAAAGGCATATGATGAAGGCACTTAGTTTACAGTACACTTCTGGCTGGGAAATAGGTAAGACATGCTGTTGCTCTGGCAGAGCCTGGGATTTTCTTTTTGCTTATAGTTCTCTGCTGCTGCTTTTTGATTTGGTAGCTGTTGGATGTGTTCCTCCTATCCTGAATGGTATCTGAGAAACTGGAGGTGGAGGAGGTGGAGAGCAGCTACCTATGCATATAGAAGCTGTATCTCACCTTGTGACTTTGAATTTCATGTGTGTGTGTGTGTGTGTGTGTGTGTGTGTGTGTGTGTGTGTCTGTCTGTCTGTCTGTCTGTCTGTCTGTCTGTCTGTCTGTTTTGAGTCAAGGCTATGTATCATTGGCTGACCTGGAATTCCCTATTTAGACCTGGAACTCAGGTCTGCCCACCACATGCTGGATTTAAAGGCCTACACCACCAACCTGGCAACCCTGAGTTTCTTAAAGGTATAACTAAATACAGGTAAGTTTGAGAGAGTATTGAAATATGATACAGTTTAGGTTACAAAAAAAACACTTAGTACTTACTGTAATTTCAAAACTTAAACAATACCATGTCTTTTAAAGATGCTACAAAGTAAGTTTCTACCACCTTAGTCTTTTCCTCTACCCCTTCTTACCTAAACATTACTCGCCGTTAAGACTCCTGGCATATCAGGCACGGTAGGACATGCCTACAATCCCAGCACTCTGAAGGAAGAGGCAGAAGGATCAGGAGTTCAAGAGCAGCCAGGGATACGAAGGAAGATAGTCTTGACTCAAACAACAGCAGCAAAAGCAACTTTGGCAAAAGCTGTGTGTGTGGCTGAAATGCATTGTTACTTTGCCCAAATTTCTAGCAGAGGCAGGACAAGAAATGGACTGTTATCTTCAGGAAAGCTTCAGCCTAAAATGTAAACTCTCTGGCTATTAAGTATAATATATATTGTTATATATTATATAAATATATTAAGTATAATAGCCAGAGAACTACTAAATAAAATGGTTGCTATCCATTTCTGATTTTTTTCAAATAAACTCAGTGATGGAATTAAATCCCTTAAATTGTGTGTAAATTTGCTCATTTTAACTCATAAATTATCATTTTAAATCCCTTATAATCATCCATAATTAATAAAAATAATATTCACCATTATATGATAGTGATTTTTTTTAATGGTTTTTCAAGACAGAGTTTCTCTGTGTAGACCTGGCAGTCCTGAAACTCACTCTGTAAACCAGGCTAGCCTCAAACTCAGAGATCTTCCTCCTGCCTCTGCCTCCCAAATGCTGGAATTAAAGGAATGGCCACCACCCCAAAATATATGATTTTTTTAAAATATTTTTTGCAATAACATAAAGCATTACATATTTTTATTACATTTTATATGATGTCCTCATTTGCTTCTCAGCTGCTATGATAAAACACTGACCAAAAGGAATTTGCAGGGAGAAATGGATTCATTTAGCCTACAGATTATAGAGTCCATCCCAACAGAAGCCAAGGTAGAAACTCAAGTCAGGAACCTGGAGGCAAATCTAAAGCAGAGGCCATGGAAGAATGGTTGCTTATTCGCTTACTTTTCATGGTTTGCTCAGCCTGCTTCGTATAAACTCAGGATTACCTGTATAGGAGTGGTACCACCTATAGTGAGCTGGGCCCTTCCATATCAATCATTAATCAAGAAAATGTCCATAGACATGCCCCCAGACATGCCCACAGGCCAGTCTGATGGAGGCAGTTCCTCAATTGAGCATCTGTCATTCCAGTTAACTCTGTGTCATGTTGCAAAACAAAAACAAAAAAAACAATACATACTACAATCCAGCTACTAGCTAGGAACCAACTCTGAGCCTGAATCATTCAGGTTCAAATCATGCCATACCAACTATAAAATCTTGCAAAATTAAACTCACCCACCTCTATTCTTCATCTATAAAGTAGAATGCAACTGAGGAAAACACAGGATATTAACACCTCTGGGCTACCACAAACATGAGCTCGTGCATGCGTGTGGGCGGACCCCAAACACACACACACACACACACACACACACCCATACATACATGCATATACCACACATGAACACACCAAAAAATTTTCACAAAGACAAGTTAAAATCACCTCATATCTTAAAAATAAATCTCATTCAATAGATTGCTCATTAAGAGATTAGTGACACTGAAAAACTTTTCACTGTCATAAGATTAGAACTGCACTGAAATGCTCAGTGTACAGCCTCACATACCTGTTTGGAACACAAGTTCTTTCCCTCCTACACCTGCTGCCTCCAGGTTAATAAATGCACGAATCAAACTGGCCCAGGGATGTTGAGTAATAAAACCATGACTGGCCTTAATGAGAGGAGAAACAAAAGTAGGTTAAAATATGTTTTTAAACTGCTTATTTGCATGACAGAATGGCTATCATAAAAAGGTGGGGACTATGAGAACAGAATAAAAAAATTTTAAAGGCATCTTCCTGTATATAATGGTGTCCCATTAGCCAAGTGGAAAGTCACTGTGAGGATAGGCAAAAGTTAAGAAAATACAGGAGAGATAACCCACATGGCATTCATGCTGTGTACCTTCCTCGAGCATCTCTCTGAAACTCAGAAGAGAGTAATTATAACATAAAAAAGCCCTTGAATCAAACACTTTTCTGGGCATGGTGGCACATGCCTGTAATCCCAGCACTCAGAAAGCTGAGGCAAGAGGATCACAAGTGCCAGGCCATCATGGGAGACACAGCAAGTCCCTGTTTCAAAAACTAAAAATGAAAACAGCCAGGCAGTGGTGGTACCCACCTTTAATCCCAGCACTCAGGAGGCCGAAAAAGGTGGACCTTTGTGCATCTGAGGTCAGCCTGATCTACAGAGCTAGTTCTAGGACAGCCAATGCTACCAAAGAAACACTGTCCTTGAAAAAAATGTTTTAAAAAGTGAAAATAAAAGAATTACATACTAGCAAGATGAGCTGTTCTCAGTTGTGTTTTTAACATAATGAGCATGTCTGCATTCATGGGTATTTTAAAAGTACTTCTAAGTACAGTATTTGTTTTACACATTATTTTATATTATTCATATTGCTAATAAAACACATTAAATGTTACCAATCATTATTGCTCTCCTTATTATTCAACTCAAATGTTTAAAACAATAACCTTACTTGCAAGACATTTTCCTCCGCACCGTTGAAGAGAAACACCACAGCATGCTGCAAGGGTTCTGATGACACTGACATGCCACGGAGAACTTCGAGCATCACTGCACAGCTAACCGCGTCATCACTGGCACCTTGGAGTGAGAAAACAGAGTCACTTCTCAGAGTCTCAGCACTTCCCATTGCTGGTGTGGAATGCAGTTTTCCCCTCAGAGAAGTGCCACGGCAGGTGCGTGACCAGAAGCATAACTGTCATCGTAGGGTGATAAGTATGCCCAACAAAGACAAGCCCCATTAAGATCCTTGTCTGGTCTGCTCAATGACATAATTGGTACCTGGAACCATGTACACTACACACTCAATAGCTGTGTTAATGAATTAACCAGACAGGACCTAAGGCCAACTGGAATTCATCCTCTCCCACCATGCTCTGGAATATTCTTTACTTCTGGTACTTGGCAGCTTCCTCCACTCTATCATTTCCTTGGCCTTCAAAATCATAAAAGCTGTAGCACTTCCCATTTACAGAGGGAGGAACACTCTGCATGGATGTTTACATTGGACGGAGTAACACTTTTTAAAGTTTTTCTGAAGGGATGGAGTAATGGAAGAGCACAAAGGCACATGAATGGTACCACACAGCCGAACAAACTAAGGGCTGGGTCTGCCCCAGCACTGAAAATCTCCAATACTGCAGCCTCTACATCAGAGAATCATATTAAACTAAAGATGATAAAAAGAACTCCAGTGCTCTGATTTAAAAAAAAAAAAATGAAATGCATTATTTTAACATCTGTACTGACTTTGTGTGCAGGCGGGAAAGGGGTTGGCACACTTGCCACAGAGCACATAAGCAAGTGGAGGACAATCTTTAGAGGTCACTCTTTCCTTCCATTATGTGGGTCCAAACTTAGGCAGCTGGGTTTGGTGGCAGGCATCTTGAAGCACTGAGCCATCTTTGCTGGGCTCCATGTGCTGACTTTCAAAGCTCTGTGAGAGATAGTTAAAGGAAATGACTGGCTATGTGATGACACTAAAAAGTTATTGCTAGATTTTCTAAGTGAGGAAGCTCATAATATTGTTGACATGCTCAAAGGGGTCCCCATCCTTCACCAGTAGAGACTGAAATAGAGAGGAACCAATGCAGCAAAGAGCCACCTCAAAATAAACGTACGAGGGCTGGGGCGGGGACACACGCACAGAGAGACACACAGACACACACACACAGACACACACACAGAGAGAGAGAGAGGGAGAGAGAGAGAGAGAGAGAGAGAGAGAGAGAGAGAGAGCACACACAGAGAGACACACAGACACACAGACACACAGACACAGACACACACACACACA